AGCCCCTCATGCTTTTCTAAGGTAAGAAAAGAGAGAGCGCTGCCTTGGGCATTGGGGCCACCAGCCAGTAGGCTGACAGCGGATGGAGATCAAAGGCGACACTTGATGTTACTGACAGCTATGTCTCATTTCATGACAGCTGAGACTCTTTCACCCAGACGACTTCATTCACAGATCTGAGATGGGGGCTGGGGTACCATCGCATGTTTCCAATGGAGCAATTACACACCAAAGAATGAAGGAAGTGTTTGCCCAAGGGCAAATAAAGGATGGGGCTGAAGCCTGTTATTTCTGCTTCCCATGGGGACACTGAGGTCAGGAGAGGAGAGGGACATGCCCACAGTCGTGCCCTGTAATCAAAGAGACCCTAGTGTTGCAACCCCAGGCTCTGAGAACCAGCGCTGTGGGAGGATGGGAGGGGCTGCCACTGGCTTTTGTCCAGAGTGAGCAGAGTAGCCAGACCCTGCTGAGTTCGCGGCAATCTCCCCAATCCGGGAGCTGGCAATCCACTTTGTCTCGTCCACGGTGGTGCGGGCGTGGGGCAGCCTCCCGACGTCCTTCACTGTCAGGATGAGGTGCCGAGACGACTTGAGCAGCTTGACCGCCTCGTCATGCAGGATGTTGAGAAAGCTCCGCCCGTTCACCTCCAGAATCTGGTCCCCAACCTGCCAAGACCACACAGCACGGTCACCTGGACGTCTGCAGGACGCTGCAGGACACTGCAGACTCATGATAGGAGCTCCACAGCCCTGTTCTAATTCTCCTCTGGCCCTTCTGCCAAGGAGGTCCTTGAGGCTCAGAGAGGTCATAGGGATGCCTGAGGTCACACAGCAGGTCAGTGGCAAAGCCTGCCTTCCAATTCTGACACGGAGGTCCTTGCTCCTGTTACTGGAAGGGGCCCCCTCCCTGACTCGGAATGGCTTTGAAGGTGAGTCTACAGTGGCATTCTCGAGGGCCCCCTGATCTAGAAACAAGCCATCTCAGAGTCCAGCACGGGGGCGGAGCTGCGGTTAGGATGAGCAAGAGCCATGAAGGCAGACTTCCTTTATTTTCCTGCCTCGCTTCTGCATGGTTGAGATTTTTACCTTGAGCACGCATCTAGTGCCTAAGATAAACAACATTGTAATGTACTACAGAAAAAAAGCAACACACGAGAAAACTAGCTTCCCGTGAAAGCAATACATACTGCTTGGATTCTCACAACAAGCAGGCAGTTTCATTTTGTAATGCAAAAAATACCATTTTTAGATGAAAAAATAAACAACCAAAAACGCCGTAGTTTTGCAACAAAAATAAGTATGTGAGCAAGAGACGGGGCTGGGAGGGAAAGGGCTGCAGTGTGCGATGGGGCTCGTCTGCAAGATACCCGGCAGGTTTAAACTCAGAGGGTTTCCTTTCACAGCCGCACAGTCAGGCTCTGGCTGGGCCACAGCTGTCCAGGGTCCTGCCTCCCCATGGCCTTGAATGACAGCTTTATATCGCCAGTTACTCTAAGCTCCTGTCCAACAGCCCAGCCTGCTGCAGCCCACGGCCAACTCCCGTGGGGTTTACCCAGTAGTTTTCAAAGCAAGAGTGGGAAGACACGAGCCACATGGGAGTCCAGGAGAGAAGATGTGCTGACAAGGCTGAGGACCAACGCCCTGGCCCCCAGTTTCCTGGCCTGCAGCCGAGTTCCCAGTACGCAAAGTGGCTGCAAATTCGGGCCTCACCTCTCCCTTCTGCAGCAGCTTTTGCATGCTCAGAGGAGCCTGAGGCCTCTTCCTGCATGAGTCCAGGCAGAGCGGGTGGTCTGTGCTGCATTTCAAGCACGCACCAACATTTACTGCAGCCCTACTACGTGCTGCTGTACCGGGATGCTGCACCGGGGACCTGCTGCTCCTCCGCAGGCCTCACAGTCGACAGCGAGCTCAAGCTTGTGCTATAATCGGGTCTCCCCATCAGCCTCTCTACTCAGGGCCCCCAGGGCCCAGCACACAGTGGGAAGGCAATGAAAAAAGAATAACATGTCTCACATCCCCTCCGTTCCTAGCTCCAGGACCATCTCTGCCGCGGCCCAGCAGGCACAGGTACAGTACTCCGCCGTGTTTGGCCCTTTACGTGTCCCTCCTTTCTCAGAAACCCCAGTGTCCTACAAAGGAGCAGCCTGCTCTCACCTCACCAGAGAGGACACGGACGCTAGGAGAGGGTCGGCAAATAGCGTGTGTTCACAGAGCGAGGCAAGAGGAGTGCCGCGGTGCCAAGCCAGATCAGGCTGGCCCCACGGGACACGTGGCACCGCCACAACCCCGCACGTCCAGAGCCACCCTCCTGCCATGCTCTCTTAACCCCCCACAGCCGCCTGATCTGAAGGCCAGGCCGCATCACCGACTCTGCCTTCACTGCTCAGAGTAGATCCTTCCGCTAGAGCCTTCAGTGCACCCCTTCTTCCACCCACACAGCCCCTACTGGGGCCCCCATCTGCTCCAACCTCGGCTCCTGTGCATCTCCCTCACTGTGCCTTCACCTCTAAACAGGCCACAGGCACAGCGCCAGATGGGTTTCATTGCTTTGTGCTTCCCCGACGTTCTTCTCCGCTTAGAAACCTCCCATGAGGGGCCGGCAGGTGGCATGGTGGTTAAAGCACTGGATTCCTACATGGCTGACAGCAACTGGACTTCCGGACCTGGTGTCCTGAAAATCACATTAGGTGTGTGCCCAAAATTCCAATAAGAGAATGGAGAAGATGGGATTGTAGCGTGGCCATCCCTCCTAGAGGGGTGCTGTCTCACTTTCCCCTCTCAGTCTCTCTCCTGGAAGCGATGTACCGTATGGCAAAACCTTGAAAAACAAAAGCAAAAACCGGAAACACTATGGTAAAGAGTTTCAAAGAGTGCAAGGCCTGGGTGCATCCTGGCTCTGTGACCTCTGTGCCACCAGACTCAGCAGCTCCTGCCATGTGACCCCACAGATACATCCAGGAGTTTTCAGGACTCACTTCCCTTGGGTGTAAAAGGGTATCCTAGTCCAGGATCATCCTTCTCCAAATTTCTACAGTCATCAGTCTCCGTTTCCCAATGCCCCGTGTTTTACCCTTGTTATAATTCCTTCTCCCTTTCTGTGTCTCTGGGCTCCCTGCTTAGGAAACCCAGGTCCCGAGAACTCAAGCAGCTCCAGCTGGTCTCCCTGTAAAGAGCTTGAGATGAGACCTGACATCCAGTTCAACTCTTAGCATCCAGCAAGCACTCAGTAAGTGCTTATGCGTGAAGGCGTGGAGAGTGCCAGTCCCACCCTAGCCTCCACTGCCCGTCCTGGCCTCGGTCTCTCTTTCACTCACTCTCGGCCTTTTCTGACTAACGAGCAGAGCTTTAGTGAAGGAGAGCTCTCCCAGGCACTCGAGCCTTCCTGAGAGCAGAGAAGAAACCCACTGGGACCTAACTCACTAAACAGCCTCCCCGTGTGGCAGCTCCGCCTCTCCTCTGCCCAGCATGAGTCCTCTCCACTGCCACCACCGCTCAGAGCTGGAGCCCAGGCTGCACTTGGCACCCGCTGAAGTGCTTTGTTGTCTTCCGTGGCCCCTTCGACAGCTCTGCCTCTTGCTGAGCTCAAGGAATCAATTTTAATCTTCCCTATAACACACTTGATTTCAGCCCGACAATTTAATTAAAGGAACTAGCATTTGAGAGTTTAGATAGGTGTGGGCATCCTTCCATGGGTAAGCCGCTCCTGCAGGTGCAAGCCAGGCATGGCAGAGATGGAGGGACAACTCACCCCACCGGCCTCTGCCTGGCCACTCTAGGCTAGGGTGCAGGGCTGCTGGGTGAAATGCAGTGTGCCCCATTAAACTCGAATTTCAGATAAACTACAAATGCAGTACTTTAAATGTATGTGACCCCAAATATTGCACGGCCTCATGAAGGAGAGTCAGCAAGTTCATGAAAAATGTATTAAAAAAATACTATGTACAGGGACTGGCAGGTGGCTTGCTGGTTGAGGTGCTGGACTCTCACATGGCTGATGTGGTTCAAGTGGCTTGCTTTCTCACTTTCCCTCGCTCTTTCTGTCTCTCTCTGGTCAAATTAAAAAAAATAATAATAGGGACCAGAGAGGGGTGTGATTTCCTGCTTTCTGTCTCTTTCTGTCTCTCTGGCAAGCACATGTGCCCTATAGCAAAAAAAAAAAAAAAAAAAAAAACTCTCTAAAATAATTAATTAATTAATTAATTCTTTAAAAAAACTATGCATCATTTGATGAACTTTTTTGCATCAAAATAAACTTGTCCTTTAACAGAAAATTTGCTAGAGGGCACGTGTGCTCACAGAAGAGAGGCAGAGAGACAAAGCATCCCCTAAGGGGCAAGCTCACACCGCAATCCCTTCTCCTCCATTTCTCCCTCCTTTAGGAATTGTGGATATGTACATGTTCCTAGCATGATTGTCAAACTGCCGGGTCTGGGATTTGAACTGCACAGTGAGCCATGTGGGATCCAGCCACCTTAACCATGAGGCAATGGACTGGTCCTAAACTCATACTTTTATTTTTCCACAAATTTTTTGAAGTCCCCTCACATAAATACCAAAAAAAGTATTTGTTATGTATCTAAAACTCAGACCTCAATGGGCACCCTGCATTTTTCACGTCAGAAGGGGACTGAGCCAGCATCATAACGAGGCTGGAGAAAGGCACCCCCCACACGGCCTCGGGAAACCCAATCACCACGCTTATCAACCACAAAAGGATCACCATCCTCTATATTTCTATTGCCTAGATCTGGCCGCCCTGAGGGGGAGGTATCTGGGGGACAGGGGCTCTCGTGGGGCTGGGTCCCAAACTTGTAGTGTATGCAGTTCAAGTCTGTGAATGACCCAGCATGCTGCTCTCTGCAGCCTCATCCTCGGAGCGATCACAGCTTTGCTGTGCTATCTCCATTTTCTCTGATGCCCATGAAATGAATGCATCCCTGCCAGAGGTGTGGGAGGCAGCGTGGGGTTCCTGGGCAGCCCGGCTGGGGAACAGTGTGAAATGGAGGTCACACCCAGGGAAGCCTGGCCTACATGAGCCTGGCTTCCTAGGGTCTTCTTTTACTCTGTTTGTTTGTTTCTTCCATAGGAGAGAGAAGAGAAGAAAGATACAGAAAGAGAGCAACCTCATGCACAGGGTTCCCATGCCACAATCCACCCGGCAGCCGAGCGAGCCAGCTGTCCGCACTTTCAGCCAGCCAGAACCACGGGCATGCGTGCACCCAGCGAGGTCGGGACGACCTCTGGAAGTGAACTAGGAACCTTCCAGTCACAGGGCACTGTGTAACCACTGCGATAAGCCGCTGTCTGCAGTCTCTTTGCAATTCTCTCCTATCTTTTCCTCCAGGGCCTGTTCTAAAACCAGAGTTCTAGGCAGACTGGCTTCAGGGGCTCCTGCAGCCCTCCCCAGCAGCTGAACTGACCTGAGTTACCCCATTCTTGGGGTCCAGCTTTGTCCACTTCCCCTGCTTGTTGGAGAGCTTCCTGGGGTCCAGAGCCCTGTCAGGACAGTGGTCCACATTGCAGCGGGCGCTGCGTTTAAAGTGAGCTCACACAACACTTTCAGACAGGGCCAGGATCTCCCTGCTGCTCACAGCAGCGCCCTGCAGCTGCAGGGGTGCAGTTCCATCCTATACTGCGCTCTCGACTTTTTTTATTTTTAATTTTTTTTTTTAGGTTTTTGCCACACGGCATGTGCACTCACCAGAGGCAGAGAGAGGCAGTGAGAGGAAAAGTGAGAAATCAGCTCTAGGGGGTATGGCCACACCTCAATCCCTTCTCCATTCTCCTCTTGAGATTTTTGGGCATGCATATACACATACCTGACGTGATTTTCAAGCCATTGGGTCTGGGACTTGAACTGTGATTGACCATGTGAGAGTCCAGTGCCTTAACCGCTATGCCACCTGCTGGCCCCACCCTTGGCTTTTGGAACGAGGCAACCATGACACAGTAGCTGGGGGCCCTGCACAGCTCCCAAGCACACTCTGAGTCTGTTTTCTCACCTGTCGGGGGCGTGGTACCACCAGTCCCCAGGGAGCTATGAGAATCTTTTAATTAATTAATTAATTAATTAATTTATTTATTTATTTGGAGAGGTTTTCACGATAAAGCACGTGCGCTCACCAGACAGACAGAGAGAGACATTAGAGACAGAAAGTGAGAAATCACCCCCCAGGGGGGATGGTCACGCCTCAATCCCTTCTCCTCCATTCTCCTCTTGGGATCTTGGGCACGCACACACACTTGCCTGGCGTGAGTTTTAAGCCACCGGGTCTGGGACACGAACCGCGGTCGACTACGTGGGAGTCCAGCGACATAGCCATTACGCTAACTGCTGGTTCCCTAGCTGTGAGAATCTAAGGGGACCATCCTGCACACAGCCTGGGCATGAGTGGCTCTGATAGTTCCCCCTTTGCTTCCCTTCCCCATCGTGGAGGCAGGTTCAGCTTGCTCCAGGCCTCTAGTCACACAGGAAGTGAACAGATGTGTCAGCACGTGAGCCCTGGCCCTTCTCATTTCTTCCTGTCACCCCGTGCCACTGTTACCTCCACTCAGCGCTGGCACACAGGCGCCGCTCACGCCATTGTAAATGGAGGGGGGTGTCGGTTGTTCCCGCTCTCCCCTCTCCTCTCATCTGCTTCCCCTTTTCCTTGCGTGTGTGTACTGTGAAGTTGGAGGTGGCATGTTTAAAGGTCTTCATCTTGTTCCTTTCCAGAGAACAACTGCGGGTTCTGTTTATTTGCTGAAATGTGACTGTTTCTTACCCTGCAAAGCCAGGTTGAAGTCAGACAACAGGCAGGTAAATGGGGTAAGAAAACACACAGGCAAGGGCCTGCATTGGCCAGCGCCTTCCAGGGATTTCCTACAGAGGTGGAAACTGAGGCACAGGAAGGACAGGGATGTGTTTAAGGCCACAGAGCGAGGCCAGGGCAAAGCCGGGGCCCTGGGGCTAGCCAAGAAAACCTCCCAGTCCCCAGGACTCATCAGAACAGGTCACGCCGGAGAAAGGACAGACAAGTGCAAAGAGCAATAGAGGCCTAACGTTGCTCGGCTCACTCTGGGGTGCGGGGAGAGAGGACATGGAAGGAAACACAAATAAAGGGGGCTTTATTTTATGTGTCACCATGGGCGTCCTATCCATCAGCAGTGATGGCGGAGCACAGGGTCGACCATGGGAATGCCCTCGTTTTAGAGCAGAGGAGGGACTCCTCCATCACCCACAGCCCCGAGTGGCAGGCATGTGTTCCGAACACTCAGAGCACGAGGGATTGGACGAGGGCAGGACGCTGGTTTTCCTGGAACTTGCCAACCCCAGGAAGAGGAAATGCACTGCTGCTAGGTCTGAGGCAGGCACCGGAGCACTGAGGAAACCCTTGGAGCAGCAGAGCGTGCTCAGCTGATCTCAGTTAAAGCCCCCTCTCGCTCTCTCAAAACTCCTTCGGTGTGTGACCTTAGGTGATTTTCTTAGTTTCTCTGTGCCTCAGTTACCTCCTCTGGAAAATGGGGAGAATTACCAGTACCTAACTCACGGGTGAATTAATACACTCACCCCTGTGTCCTCAGCACTTAGAGTCTGGCACATAGTAGGTGCCTAGGGAATGTTTACGGAAGGAACATAAATATATCGTGTTTGTAAAAGAGGATCTGACATGCAGCAAGTACTCAGTAAACGTGGGCTGCGCTTTGGAAATCTTGTGCTTTTACCCCGAGGTCACCCTTTGATTACTCGCCCACAAAATCCTGCCATTCTGCCTCCTCAGGGTCTCATAATGACACCCTCGCCCTGCACCTTCCTCCTGTCTCCTCCCTACGCCCTGCGTCCAACTTCAGCTGCCAAGCACACACCATTATCCCCACATCACAGGAGAAGGCAGAGGCCTGGAAGTAGTGACAAAGGCTGGGAGATGTGGCCCGTACTCTGCCACGTCCCGCTAGAACCAATAGCAACTCCTCCTCTGAGCAAAGCCAGGCTGCCCCTCTCCACCCCTAACCCTCTCAGCCCTGCGCAGCATGCCATGTGCACAGTAGGTCTTCTTTGCATGCCTGACAAGGGAGCTGAACACAGACTAGGAGGAAGAACCCCGGTAGGATGGCAGTAGCTCTGAGCACCTGTACCAGAGGCTGGAGAGAGAGAGACCGGCCCACAGTGTGATCCTGTGCTGAGGCAGGAGGTGAGAATCCATCCTATGGATGCACTCACCAGCGAAGCCACGCTGGCCGGGACTTGGACAGAAGTTTATTTCAGGGCCTCTTCACCACCTTCCCAAGAATGTGCTACAGTGGGATTTGTGGCTTTGAGTGGAAACCTGGCTGTTCGCAGCGTTACTCTGGTGAAAACTCAAATTCTATTAAAGAGTTTTATTGCAATTATGAATCTTTAATCGTTTTCCATGTCAGGTATAAAACTTTAATGGGCTTTTGTTTTCCTTTCAGTACAAGTGAGCAATGCAGTTTTCATGAGACAACATTCATTTTTTCCCAAACGATTCCATAAACTCTGTCTATATAAACATAAGAAAGTTAATGCAAAGATCAAGGTAAATGCTAAGAAGGGTCTTGGAGCAAGCTCGGGGTCAGGGTTGGGTCTAGGCGAGCCCATCACACAGGCCTCTCTGGTTTAGTGCTCCCGTAGGGCAGAACCCAGCTGGAAATGCCATGGATAGAACTGGAAGAGCCGGGGCACCTGACTGCCCCAATGGCCCTGCTTCCTTCTGGTTCCTTCTCTGGCACTGGCAGATCCGCCATCAGTGCCTGCTCACTCTGCCCACGACATGGGCGGCCGCTGATGAAGACCTGCTCTGACGCCCTAAGTCATCAGTGGAAAAACTAAGGCCAGAGACTGAAAAGGACTTGCCCAAGGTCAGAGACAGGGTGGAGAGGCCAGTCCTGAATACTTCCTGCAGGCTTTCAGAGTTACAGAAACTGCAGAGGAGAATAAGGCCGACCTCTGAGGTCAGGGTTATTGCTTGGGCCAGCTACCTCATACAGTTCGTGCAATGTAGCTCTAATTTAAGTGCCACAGGGTCACAGACGGTTTCTTGTTTTATAGAGGGGCAGTGAGGCGAGCAAGGTACAGGCACTTTCCCAGAACACCAAACAAGCAAGAAACAGAGCAGGATTTGAACCCAGCCCAGATGCTGTTCTGAGCTCCAGGCTCGGATTTGACCATTCAACATTTCAAATCAGATGACTCGGAGGCCCTCTAAACCGGCCCTTCTCCGGACAATCATCTGCAGTAATGAAAATGTTCCATATCTGTATGTCCAAGAGAGTGGTCACTGCTATGGAGATTTACATTAATTAAAGTGAAATAAAATGGTGACCAGCAGTTAGCATAATGGCTATGTCGCTGAACCTTGGCTCGAGTCCTGGACCCGGTGGCTTAAACTCATGCCGGGCACAGGTGCGTGCATGCCCAAGATCTTAAGAGGAGATTGGAGGAGAAGGGATTGTGGCATGGCCATCCCCCCGGGGGGTGATTTCTTGCTTTTTATCTCTCTGTCTCTCTCTGTCTTTCTGGCAAGCACACACGCAATATAGCAAAAACCTCTCAAAAAAAAAAAAGTAAAATAAAATGAAAAATTCCTGTCCCCAGTCATAATAGCTCCATTTCACCAGCCACTGTCACCAATGGCTACTATACTAACAGTGCAGTTCTAGACGCACCCCAAGATCGAACCCCTGACCTTCCCCTGTCCTTCCTCCCAGCCCAGTCTT